TCCACCACCCTCCCTACAAACTTCTACCACCCTCCCTACAAACATCCAGCACCCCCTTCCTACAAACATCCACCACCCTCCCTACAAACATCCACCACCCTCCCTACAAACTTCTACCACCCTCCCTACAAACATCCAGCACCCCCTTCCTACAAACATCCACCACCCTCCCTACAAACATCCACCACCCTCCCTACAAACTTCTACCACCCTCCCTACAAACATCCAGCACCCCCTTCCTACAAACATCCACCACCCTCCCTACAAACATCCACCACCCTCCCTACAAACATCCACCATCCCTACAAACATCCACCACCCTCCACACAAACATCCACCACCCTCACTACACACATCCACCGTCCACTCTACAAATATCCACCACCCTCCCTACAAACATCCACCACCCTCCCTACACACATCCACCACCCCCTCCCTACAAACATCCACCACCCTCCCTACAAATATCCACCACCCTCCCTACAAACATCCACCACCCTCCCTACAAACATCCACCACTCTCCCTACCAACATCCACCACTCTCCCTACACCCCTCCATACAAACATCCACCACCCTCCCTACAAACATCCACCACCCTCCCTACAAACATCCACCAACCTCCCTACACCCCTCCATACACACATCCACCACCCTCCACACAAACATCCACCACCCTCCCTACAAACATCCACCACCCTCCCTACAAACATCCACCACCCTCCAGACAAACATCCACCACCCTCCCTACAAACATCCACCACCCTCCCTACAAACATCCACCACCCTCTCTACAAACATCCACCACCCTCCATAAAAACATCCACCACCCTCCCTACAAACTTCTACCACCCTCCCTACAAACATCCACCACCCCTTCCCTACACACATCCAGCACCCCCTCACTACAAACATCCACCACCCTCCCTACAAACATCCACCACCCTCCCTACACACATCCACCGTCCACTCTACAAATATCCACCACCCTCCCTGCAAACATCCACCACCCTCCCTACAAACATCCACCACCCTCCCTACACACATCCACCGTCCACTCTACAAATATCCACCACCCTCCCTACAAACATCAACCACCCTCCCTACACACATCCGCCACCCTCCCTACAAACATCCACCACCCTTCCTACAAACATCCACCACCCTCCCTACAAACATCCACCACCCTCCCTACAAACATCCACCACCCTCGCTACACACATCCACCACCCCCTCCCTACCCTCCACGATGCCGAAGTTGTCGTGTATGACTTTAGCCAGAGGCGCCAGACAGTTGGTGGTGCACGAGGCGTTGCTGAGCACGTTGATGTTGGCGCTGTAGGTCTCATGGTTCACCCCCATCACAAACATCGGGGCGTCTGCTGACGGCGCGGAGATGATCACCTTTTTGGCCCCTCCCTGGGGAAAATTTAAAATCAATTATAAATTCACCACCTACATGATTTTTAAAAATTCAATTATTAATTTACTTTCTGCTAATAAATATACTTCAAAATTATACAAATAGAAGATTTAATTATTTTTTTTGGATAAATAGGAAAAAAACTCCGATGAAAGAGAGTATTGCCCCTTGACTAAAACAAACGATTAGGTGAGATTTCTTAATCCCCGAACCCGCTACTTAACACCAGGAAGATCTCAGGGCGATTTGAAATTGTCATCGACCCATAACCTTGACCTGTGGTGTCTCTGTCCCCTCAGACAAAGACACTCTCACGGGTCTATTTTTAGATAGACTAGCGATTAGGTGAGATAATTAATTGGTTCAGGGTTATTAGTACTTCATCATAAGTAGATCAAATAAAAAAAAATTTTGCTATACAGCTCATAAATAACCATAACCCCGGCTCCCAAGTTACCCGCCATGCGCTCTCACCTGACTTTCCCTGTGTTTGCATAATCTGCTTTACGGCGGCTCTGGTGTCACAATAATTGTGACTCCTATACCACATTAACTGCTACTCATATACCTCATTAGCTGAAACTCACATGCCACACTAGCTGTGACTCTTAAACCACCTAGCTGTGACTCCTATACCACACTAGCTGTAACTCCTATACCACACTAACTGTGACGCCTATACCACATTAACTGTGACTTCTATTCCTCATTAGCTGTGACTCCTATACCACACTAGCTGCTACGCCAACATCTCACTAACTGTGACACCTATACCACACTAGCTGTGACTCTACCACACAAACTGTGACACCTATACCACACTAGCTGTGACTCTACCACACAAACTGACTCCTATGCCACACTAACCACTACGTCAACATCACATAAATTGTGAATTCTAACTGGTATTCATATACAATGCTAAACTATGACTCCTATAATTTATACTCCTATACCTAAATAACTGACTCCTTTCCAACACTCGCCGTGGCGTCGAAATCACGCCTACGTTACCCTATTGGAGGTTTCTACACCACACTAATAACGACTCTGTCCTACTTGTGACTCTTATTCCACACTAACTACAGCTCAACAACATCTACTGCTCCCAGTAACCCTAAATACGGATAACAAGCCAACCCCAACCCCAACCCCAATCCCCCAACCCCTACTCCTCAAAAGTAGAGCAGTTAACACGACTAAATCTTAACTCGTCTAAATCTCCTCATTTAAATCAGGTTACCGACCCTGTCCTTTTATAGCTAATTAATTCAGTCCGCTCATTAATTCAGTCCGCTCATTAATTCAGTATTGACACTTTAACTAGACACTGTCTCAGTTCAAAATTGAAGGTCTAAATATGTTTCACCGCCCGGGGGAGGGGGGGGGGATCATACTGAAGGTCGTCAAGCGTTTTTTTTTAAAAAAAAAACTTTATAAAAATTAAAATCCGTTCATAATTTAACATCAACAATGGCTGCTGAAATAAGATGACGGATTAACTCGTTTGAATATATTTGCAGGTTATTTTAATTTAAAAAATTACAAAATTTCATTAACTGTTCATTGATTATTTGAAAATTAGAAAGGTATTTAAATTATAGGAAATTTACAAGACAGCGGAATAAGTTCATTAGCTGTAAGTTATTTTATTTGTGTTCTGTGGTCGAGGTTTGAAAATAATGAATGTAGAGCCACATTATTATCGGGCAGAATAGTTTCACTAGACTCAACTAGACTGACAGGCTGTATTTCACGTACAGGACTGTGAGACACATAGTTCTAGACTAATCTAGACAGATGTGTCTTCTTCTTCTTCGTTCTTAATTTAGTGTTCGAAGGTATCCCCTACAACACAATTAAGCGTTACGTGTCAACTGGTTATGCGCCATTGAGGCCATTGATTCTGATTTCAGCCTGCTTTTCTTTTTGGATTTGCTTCCATAGCCTTTGTTCATCCAAAAAAAAACTACAAACAGGTTGTCTCCCCTAGAAGAGGGGCTGTCCCCAACTAACGAGCCTCATCTGCCCGAGGGTTCGAACTCGAGACTTTTCGATTTTACCGACTCGACCACGCCGACACATATAGATGAATCTCAAACGTTGTAGAGATATAATGGTTACAAGATGGAAGATAGCAAGATAGGCAGAAAAAAACAAATAAGGTAGACAAACAAGACAGACAGACAGACAAGACAGACAGACAGACACACAGACACACAGCCAACAAGACAGACAGACAGACGGACCAACAAGACAGACAGACAGACCAATAAGACAGAGAGACAGACAGACCAATAAGACAGACAGCCAACAAGACAGACAGACAAACCAACAAGACAGACAGCCGGGACCAACAAGACAGACTGACAAACAAGACCAACAAGAGAGACATACAGACAGCCAACAAGACAGACAGACATCCAACAAGACAGACAGACAGACCAACAAGACAGACAGACAGCCAACAAGACAGACAGACAGACAGCCAACAAGACAGACAGACAGACCAACAAGACAGACAGACAGACAACAAGACAGACAGACAGACAGACAACAAGACAGACAGACATCCAACAAGACAGACAGACAGACCAACAAGACAGACAGACAGACAACAAGACAGACAGACAGACAACAAGACAGACAGACATCCAACAAGACAGACAGACAGACCAACAAGACAGACAGACAAACAGATTAGACCAACAAGACAGACAGACAAGACAGACAAGACCAACAAGACAGACAGCCGTGACCAACACCATGTCTCACCTTGAGATGCTCCTCAGCCTTCTCTAGAGTGGTGAAAGCCCCCGACGACTCGACCACGTAGTACACGTCGTTCTCCCCCCACGGGATCTGGGCGGGGTCCTTCTCATTGGTCACCTTGATCTCCTGGGCGTCCACCACCAGCTTGTCCTTGGAGAAGCTCACCTCCCCGGGGTACGTCCCGTGGGTCGAGTCGTATCTGTAAACGATAGGTCAAGGTCATAATGTTGCTCGTGATCTTGGAGGTTAAACATGGCTGAGGGTTCTAAGTTGTAAGTAGCCAGTGTAGAGTGCAGGGAAGCTAACCTCAAATTCCAGATTCTGTAGGAAGTCCCTGAGTCCACTCAGCTCTATTGGATACCTGACTCACGTTATGGAAACTCAAGACGGCTGGGTATAAAGCTTAGCAATTTATAAATTCGTACAAAAAAACAGGTACACTCTATTTCACCTGCCCTACTGACCGTCAGATACGACAGGGTAACTAAGTTCTATAGCTTACTGCTTAGGTAGTTAATCCTGGTATAATCAACAGCGTCATTTAACGACCAACAGACCGCCGAAATAATGTATCCCGATAAAAAGCTCCCTATCAACTAGACATCGACTCTTGACAAATAGGGCCCGTCAGTTTACAATCTTGATTGAAGTTATTCCATTCAGGTGAAATAGCGGATGGTATTTTATTCCCCTTCTGGCCACACTATCCTATGAATTTATTTTACCTGTATTTAGTTTGAGATACCAATTAGACTGTTGGAAACTAGGACGTAAGCTAAGCTATCTAGGGAATTATATTAGTGCGGGTTTGAGGCTAAAAACAACGCCATTCAAATACAAAATACTAACATTTAAAACTTGATTCTAGATCTAGTTCAACCTGCACAAACGAAAACGGACAATTATTGGTTAATGCTATTAATTAATTACTTAATTATTCTTTATGTGTTTCTGTTAATCGTCTATTAAAGTTTTGGATTTCTTCAAGTTTATGTGTGGTTGATCTTTGATGGATCTAGATTTACATATATTGTTGTTGGTTAAAATTGCCCAAGTCATTAATACTTTGTAAATAAATGCTTAAGACATTCACCGAAAATATCCGTTGTATGTAGATCTAGATTATATGTCAGAATTAAAAAAAAAGATTTCGACTTCATGTTTGTTCAATGACACTTGTCTAAAGCTAGACCTAGCTGCATTCTTGAACACACAGAATTTAGATCTACTTGAACATGTAGACCATGTCCAATGACACTTGTCTAGACCTGGCTGGATTCTTGGACACACTGAACTTACTTGAACATCTAGATCTAGACCATGTCTAATGACATTTGTCTAGATCTAGCTGAATTTTTAGACACAGAACTTACTTGAACATGTAGACCATGTCCAATGACACTTGTCTAGACCTAGTTGAATTCTTGCAAACACAGTACTTACTTGAACATGTAGACCATGTCTGATGACACTTGCCTAGACCTGACTAAACCTAGACCTAGCTGGATTCTTGGACATAAAGAACTTACTTGAACATGTAGACCATGTCTAATGACACTTGCCTAGACCTGACTAAAGCTAGACCTAGCTGAATTCTTGGGCATACTGAACTTACTTGAACATGTAGACCATGTACTCCAGGTTAATGAAGGGGTCGTTAATGAGGGCAATGGTCACCCCTTTAGCCAAGGCTGCCCGCATCACAATACGGCCGATCCGGCCAAATCCGTTGATGCCGATTTTAAAACTCATTTTCTACAAGTTGAGCGGCACCACCATTCAGCTTACACGGACTGTTTGTTTTGTTTTTCTTAGCGACGGGCCATTTCCTGTGACGTCATATAAAAGGTTGAGTGTGTATTTTTTAGGCCTAGAAAGTTTAGAGATTATGGAATGTTATTTTTGCTTTTTGATATTTTGTCCTGTCATGTAGGTATTTTAGAGCGGACGACTGCTAACCCGAAAGTCTCGAGTTCGAATCCGTGTTCAAATCTTTAAAATGTTCTTGAGTCCACCCAGTTTTGATGGGTACATAATTCATGTTGGGGAAAGTAATTACCGCTTGGCATAGTGCTGACCACACTATCACTTCATATGCCGAGGTAATAGTAACAGGTGAACTCTATCGTACACGGCATGCCAACAAAACACTATCCTACACGACAACAATACGCTATCCTACACGACGGAAAAGACTATCCTACACGACGGAAAAGACTATCCTACACGACGGAAAATGCTATCCTACACCAGAGGCGTAGCGAGGGGGGTGCGGACCGCACCGGGTGACACCATTTAGGGGGGGGGGGGTGACACCAAGGCAAAAAATAGTAACATATATAGAGAAAAATTTGAGGGGGGGGGTGCAAATCGAAAGTTCGAGGAGGGGAGGGGGGGGGGGTGCAAATCGAATATTGAAAGTTTGTCCCCGGGAAGAGTCGCTACGCCTCTGTCCTACACGACGGAAAATTCTATCGTACACGACAACAAACGCTATCCTACACCACAACCAACTCCATCCTACGAAAATGTCATCACATACCAGTTATCAGGCAAGATACACAGGGACCGTAATCGCGTTTCCCCCCCCCCCCCCCCCCCAAAAGTTGACTTTTCCTGACGTGTAGTTATGGCAACATAAAATCTTCCACTCAAGGTTTCACCTGTGTTAGTAGATCTACTAAATTATGAATGCGTAACACAGAGTTAGGCTATATTTACTCAGAAGGAATTATAATAAATCTGGTAAAATAGTAATTTTAAGAATGTCACGAATTTATCTAAAGTAGCTCTGCTATCCAAAACATTACCCAAGGCTTTGGTCTAACTTAAGAATAAATCTACTTCCGTTTTTAAAAATGCACGTTTGTCTGTCCGTTTGTCCGCGTGTCCATCTGTAAACACGATAGCTTGATTACCATTTCAACTAGGTTGACGAAAGTTCATATGTAAGTATTACATAACATTTGAAGTATTATTTCAACTGGCGCTTACTGCTCTTGCACTCTTTCCGATTCCTCAAAAAAAAAAAAAAAAAAACCCTCAATATTTCTTTAGGAAGTACTACTTTTCTGCTCTACTATACTCACCTTTTGCGTTTATTTTTCGGCATGATTCTGTTCTTTATACAAACTTGAGTATTAAAAAAAACTATTTTAAAAATGTCTATAGCCCTGGAGGTACCGGCCCCTACTGTTACATAAGAATATACGAGAAAGGTTAGAGAAGATACCTCCAGCTTAAATTAAATGTACTAGAGTCAGACAAAAGGATCGACTTTATGGTCTACCATAAAGAAGGGCTAAGCAGTAAGACAGTGTTTCGTAGCTGAGTTATAATGTTACATCTATATGTTAGTATAAGTCTTGTTTTGTGTGGTATCTACCTCAGAATTTTTCTAGAATCCTATTCTTCAGACAACCTTCCTACAAAAGAACTACAATCCCATTGCTTAAATTCCCAAACCCTATTGACGCCACGCAGCTACGACGACATTTAGATCCCCCTCTCTAATTAGCCCTGCTCATTACTTCAGCTTCTAACCGTATCTATCTCCCCCGTACACAAACAAACCTCTGGCTGGGTGGGAGGACGGGGTTGTAAGCAAACTTTTCCTTTCTTGACTCGTAGCTCGTTGACATTCTCCCGAGTTAAATGCGGAGTTTGACGCATTTTGCGCGGAGTTAGCGCAATCAAAGGCAACGTGAATTGTGTTTGTTATCGGGGTGTTGTTGTGCGCGAGGCAGCGTCTGTCGATGGTGCCGTCGTCTGGTTTTACCGGCGAGGGTCGCAGACATGCCGGCCGTTGGGATTCCAGAGCGGTCAGGTAGCTTAGGTGTGGGTATGGTTGATGGGTAGGACACAGGTAGACTAGGTGTGGGGATGGGTGATACAATGGGGTTTTAACATTACTGGTGTACAGGTTTGGTAGTCTACTTGTGTGTATGTGTGTGTGTGTGTGTGGGGGGGGGGGTGTGTGAGTGTATGGGGGGATGAAGTGGAATAACAGGTAGTAAAACAGTGGAATAATGGAACTGCAGATAAATTAAAAAATGTAACAAGGGAGAATTCTAGAATAAATTTTTAAAAAGTGTATTTATGGAGTTTCGGAATCGTGTGGTATTGGTATAGTGGTAAATTAAAAAATTGGAATAATGAACTTGTCGAACAGAGGGAAGATTTAAAGACGTCTAAAACAGTGAAATCGTAATTAATGTCAGAACAACAATTTATGAACGAGTTAAAATTGCATTGTCTGAAGCCTAAGTTTCGTCCCTAATTTCAGCCCCTATTTTCCGACCCCCTAATGTGTATCCAAAAGCAAGAGTCTACGTCACAACATGGAAATCTGGGATCAGCTTCTCTAAACAACACAAAATGCATGTTTGAAAGGCTACCCATACTCAAGTATGAGAAGAAAAAAAAAACGATTGTCCCATTTATCATGTGTCTGTCATAGTGAACGGACACGCCAGACAATGCCCGGGGGGTGGGGATGAAGGGGTGTATTCTTCCTCTGGAGTCCACTCTAAACCACTGTCTTGATCTCCCAGTCCCTGGGGCCACCCTGGGTGCGCTAATCCCGGGGTGTTCAAAACGTGGGGCCCCTGGCTCAACACGTCAAAACATGTAAGCTCGCGGAGGGCAAAAAAATGCTCAGTCACAACAAGTTGTAACAATACAGGGGAGATGACTGGATAAAGAGGCAACAACAAAGGGGAGATGACTCCTGCATGGAGTTAAATTTTAATACCTGATATTAGCTCCCTTGCATGGCATGAATAGGTTTTGTAGTTTGATTTTTTTTAAAAAGAATTAAGATCTTCGTGTGTGGACGAATTAAATAATACAATACAAACGTGTTTGTGAGTGTTTGTTAAGGCGCCTGTTTGTAAGTTTGTAACAAGATACTGTTGCATTGGAAAGGTCGATACCAAAAGAGTTAACCATCAATAATTTATAAATTTTCGCGGTCTGGGGTTTTAATTAACGATGACGATGTTATATTTGGAGGGGGGAGGAAGGTAATTAACCACTTTAAAAATATTTGGCGAGGGCTCATACATGAGGGCATCTATCATACTATGGGTAAGAGGTCATTCATACGCCACCCTACACTCATTGGGAGGATGGGGGTTTGGACTTAGGTGACGATGGGTTACGGTGCCGGGAGGGTGGGGGATGATATAACTTCGTTGTTTTATAAAGAAGTTTTTGGAACTGAGTTTTGTACACAATTTTTTCAGATTTTTTTTTAAATTGATCGAAATACCTATTTAAAGCTCAGGTAATTCCTAACTCTCTTCGCGATGAAATTCATCAAAGAATGCAAGATAATTAAAACAACTGTTTTGAGATTACCTTTATTATGTAAATTGAGTTAGGTCAAAATGACTTGACGAACCGTCAGATATGGTTGGCCCCAATTGGCGGTATTCTAAAATTATGGGATGGGGTTGGAATTTGGTGACGATAATTTGAGCGAGATGGGTGGGGGGGGGGGGGGGGGCGAGTTTGATGGCTATGTTATGTGATGATATCGGGTAATTAGTTTTGTAAAGTGGACTACATTTTATTGTTAAAACAATGAGAAAAAAACAAACATAAATTTTCTATAGATTTATGGATGTGAAACTGTAAGCGTTGTAACTTGGTGTCTGTTATTTTACAGTTATGTACGTGTGTGTGTGGGGGGGGGGGGGGTGGTATGGTGTGATTTTTTAAGTCAAGGGGTGAGGTGAAAATCTAGAAAAGCATGACGTCATTTATAAACAACTCTTTTTAGAAAAGAAAAATGTATAGATGTTCTACCTAGTGTTGGACTATGCACAAATTATCCGGCTATCATTTCACCAGACCTCATGTTATTTTAAACCCCCGTTGTCACATTTGTTGTTGACAATGTCAAAAAGTCACCAACACTGGCTGGGAAGAGTGATGCACCGCACGCTGAAACCAAACGCCCGCGCTATTTACCCGGCAGTGAACGGAGTCACCGAATCAGTTCCCGGCAACGGGTGGTCCGTGCGAATAGACACTCGTCCAGCCGTGCGAATAGACACTCGTCCAGCTATGGGTGTCACTAATACACAAGTCAGGGCCGTGAATAAACACAGGGGCGATAATAAAACGATTAGGAGATCACCAGTAGCCGTTCCTGTCACAACCCCTGGATCGCCGAGTGGGTCAGGTATGGATTAGGGATGGGTTATGGATTACTTGAGTGTGGATAAAGGGGGATGGGGTGTGGATTACTTGCGCGAACAGGAGACGGAGATTTTGAGATTTGTAAGGGTTGAAGGAGATAAAGGAATGGTTAATGTCGTTGTTTCTCAATCAGTTAATCTGTGTGCCCACTTGTATAGAAACTGTTTGTGTAAGTTATTCACATATTTGTTTACGTTTAATACCTCTTGTTCGCCAATATGCAAATATACTTAGCCATTTTATATGAATTACTAAAACAAAGCAAAAACAACTAACACAACTAATATGACGTACACAAAACCTCCCCCTTTCAACTTATCCACAATGCTATCGAATATTAAATCTTGTATTTTATTTTATGAAATACTAAACATTAGTTTCGTTACATTTTCCTAATTAACTTTCCCCATAAAGTATCTTGTCATAAGACAGGACCCCCCCCCCCCCCCCCACATGCACGAGACGTCATCATGGACTGGCCTTTAGACTGTTTTGCTCTTAATTTGTTTTTAACTGATGGTACTGATTAAATTCCAAGTTTCAGAATTTGAATTGTGTTTGTTTATTTTTTTAAAAAAAAAGTATTTTTTTAATGATGTATGACTGTGTAAAGGGTGAGAGGGGGGGGGGGGGGTCGGCAAAAAAGGCGTAACGTCATTTATAGACCACCCCTCCACCCACTCTCTTAGGTATTTAGACAAAAGCCCGTCACGTATGGAAATCGTGTCCCTATTTAACATCCACCACGGGGCACACAAGAGCAGACTGAGACCCACTGGCATCGTGAATCCAACATGCGTATCTGGAGATCGTAAGCACCGTCCACACGCAAACTGTCTGACTAATTGTGATTGAAGCCTCCGATAATACATGTTGAAGTGTCGTTCAATTCTGGATTAACATACCAGGGTTAGGTTGGTTTAGTGTGACACGACGGTTCCCAAATTAAGCGCACTAGATAAACGCGCAACGGAAAATTGCGCACAAATAAAGTTTGCGTTTTTTTTACTGTGCTTTAATTTCCATGAAGTATTATTGTGCGCTATCTTTAATTGTATTTTTTTTCCGAGGTGCAATTGTTTCTGGGAACCCAAATTATGTTCTTATAACCTATTGAAATGTGGAAAAAAAGAGCAACGGAATTATTTAAAAAATAATTAAACAGGAATGAAGCTATACATTTTCATTATATGACTTAATAGATATGACTTATCCCTCTTGACTCCTAGCGAAGGACAGGGGATCAACCATAAATCCCCGGCTGTTTTTTTTTTCGATCTGTCAAGCAAAGAAGAATCACATCTACATAATCAAACATTTTTCCACGGAGTATGATGAAATTAATGTATATTCGTTTAATTAGTTTGTATTTGTGCATTTTCCGTCTGCGCAATTTTCTGTTTTTCATTTTTCTAGGAACTCTCCTAGGGATCCATGTGGTCTTAATTATTTTCACACTGTGTAGGGTGTAATTATAACTCCTGTGGATTTCTGATGTCTTGGGTTCGATAACATGATATGTCTAAATCTGCGGGTAGCTCCTGAGTTCACTCAGCTCTGATGAGTTCCTGACTAGAGTCTGGGACGAATAGATCAGTCCTAGAATGGTTCCTCGCTTGACTGCAGCACATCTGGTATTCTCAGTGTCATAAAATGTCAGTTATGTGATGTGACCCTAAAATAGGTCACTGTTTTTGGCCATTAGACAAGTTCTCTTCGACTGGCCTTCAGACAAGTTCTCTGCGACTGGCCATCAGACAAGTTCTCTGCGACTGGCCATCAGACAAGTTCTCTTCAACTGGCCATCAGACAAGTTCTCTTCGAGTGGCCATCAGACAAGTTCTCTGCGACTGGCCATCAGACAAGTTCTCTGCGACTGGCCATCAGACAAGTTCTCTTCGAGTGGCCATCAGACAAGTTCTCTGCGACTGGCCATCAGACAAGTTCTCTTCGAGTGGCCATCAGACAAGTTCTCTGCGACTGGCCATCAGACAAGTTCTCTGCAACTGGCCATCAGACAAGTTCTCTTCGAGTGGCCATCAGACAAGTTCTCTGCGACTGGCCATCAGACAAGTTCTCTTCAACTGGCCATCAGACAAGTTCTCTTCGAGTGGCCATCAGACAAGTTCTCTGCGACTGGCCATCAGACAAGTTCTCTGCGACTGGCCATCAGACAAGTTCTCTTCGAGTGGCCATCAGACAAGTTCTCTGCGACTGGCCATCAGACAAGTTCTCTGCGACTGGCCATCAGACAAGTTCTCTTCGAGTGGCCATCAGACAAGTTCTCTGCGACTGGCCATCAGACAAGTTCTCTGCGACTGGCCATCAGACAAGTTCTCTTCGAGTGGCCATCAGACAAGTTCTCTGCGACTGGCCATCAGACAAGTTCTCTGCGACTGGCCATCAGACAAGTTCTCTTCGAGTGGCCATCAGACAAGTTCTCTTCGAGTGGCCATCAGACAAGTTCTCTGCGACTGGCCATCAGACAAGTTCTCTGCGACTGGCCATCAGACAAGTTCTCTTCGAGTGGCCATCAGACAAGTTCTCTGCGACTGGCCATCAGACAAGTTCTCTGCGACTGGCCATCAGACAAGTTCTCTTCGAGTGGCCATCAGACAAGTTCTCTGCGACTGAATATGTGCCGTTTTCTTTTAGTCGTACATTTTAGAGCCTAAATGTTACCCGTTCAGTTTGAAAAAGTTTGTTCCTAAATTTTGATTTGTGTGAATTTAATTTGTAGCCTACAAGATGTAACTATTTTTTTTTTCTTTTTGTGTCGATTAGCCATGTCAACTTTTGTTTTTTGATAGCTTCACTGAGAACAACGATCTATTAAAATGTCTAATCCTTACACAAACCCTAGTCATAAACTATATTTTAAGTGTAGGTCAATGTACCACCCAAACAAATTACCAAAAGCAAATACAGGCTTATAGATTTTCGAAAAGTATGTTTTTGTTCATAATAATGTATTTATAAATATCTTAACTATTATAGTCCTACATGGTTTGGTACTGCAATTAATTTTAAAATTAAAGTTAATATTTAATTAGTAGATGGGCCAAGCCATGGCGGAGGGGGGGGGGGGGGTATAGAGAAAACAGCCGTACGGTTGTACCAAGAGTTTTATGTAGACCACAGGTAGGCCCATATGACTTGACCCACACAACCACTAACGTAGTCGCCAAGTCCTCTCAATTCTATAATCTCCTTCCCATAACGTAAATAAATAAAAAATAAATACTTGGCATATTTCCCCCCTCACGTCATACAAGTCTACTCCACCCACCCCCGTCTTAACTCCTCCCCCTCAACTCCTCCCCAACACCCCCACGATCGCCATTACGTCTCACGCGCCGTTGGTAGATCAGCCACAGCCCCAGACGTTCTGACCGACAGCTGCAGAGCTGTAGAACCAGCGAGCTCTTTAGTCGCGGTCTCATGGTTCCGCCCAGTGCCTCTTCCTGCCAACTGGGACGTTTATTAGCATACATACGGTAGGCCGGAGAATCTAGTCCAGTTTAAACTCACATTCAGATTGTACATTTGTGGTTTGGATGTTGAAACTTTAATAAGTGGTTACATACGATTTGGATAACTACCGACATATTTAAGGTAACGTATAATTAAGTGATATTAAGCATTAGGCCTATAGGCCTACATTGATTTAATGAATAATCATTTTTTTCTAGATATAATAGGCCTAAATCAACACATTAGGCCTATATAGGCCCATTAATGAGCGAAAATATTTTTCAACTAGCACACAATAATTCAGTAAATTAGTTTAACTTTTAAATAATTTGAATCGATATTTTTTTTTTAAATAAACTTATCTAAATACTAAAAATATTTGTTACGAGTCTTCGATTTTTTAAATAGGTATAATTTTTTAACAAAATTACAATTTAAACTACTCCGTTCGAGTATATTATATGAAATAATTTACTCATTAGGTTCGGCAAAGTACTACTTTTGTATCTTTTAAATCTGTTAATTTTCTTTAGTCTCCATTCAAGTTTACAAGTTTCGCGATGTTTTAGTATGCTAAAATGTAGCATATTACATAAACTTTTTGACGTATCGCTTTTACTTTTCATAACGGAGACGTATGCATTCTGCCCGGAGTAATCTTTGCTTAAAATTTGTTTGAAATTGTTCACCGATAATTAAGTCATAACAGATCACCGCGATATCCCATAATTAATGTGAAATTGTACGCTTGGAATTTCGTTCTAAAATTGGCGTAATTAAATGTGTCATTTTGCAACAACCGCCCCCCCCCCCCCCCATCCCTTCTAACAGTATATAAAAAAACAATGAGCAGATAATTAAGTCTCTATGTTAAAATATGGAGAGATAACCTTTCCCCGCCCTGCCTCCCCCCCCCCCCCCACTACTCAAGTGATTTTATCAATTCATAAAAACTTTGACTGTGTCAAACCTTGACACATTTATGTCTTCGCCAGAGTCAATTTCCTGTTAAAAAAGCTATCACACCAATAAAAAATGTCCGTAACGGAACAATTAATTTGAAATTAATCTCCTTAGAATATGTGCACTTAGAGAATTGGCTGGGCGGCTTAGTCGTCCTTAGAAGCCGGGGTCAAACTGCAACTATATATGGGCCCGGGGACAGGGTCTAGGGGTGTTTCTTGTGGGAGGGAACAGCGGACTAACGAACGTCATTCCGATAAGTTCGATATTCTATGGATTGCTTTTTTTTTGTGTGCGTAAAGGATCAGGGTTTTTTTTTAGACTTTTACTTTTTTCTTGAGAGGGGGCGAAAATTGGTAAAACTATATTTTCTATGTAAATTTAAGGTAAGGGATGGTTTAGTAAATAATGGTAATGGACTGAAGTAAATGACTATGAGGTGAGGGACTGAGGTAAGTGACTTAGTGAGTGCTAGAGCTAAGATTGCGTTCTTTTATACAGCACTTTATATTGAACTTAAGCATGTTAAATTGTGGAGTGTTTTCTAAGTCCATACTTAATTTTATGGACACGCAAAATTCACAAATATAGTTTAGTCACGTAAAATCACTTTGATAATGTTTTTGCCGATTTTACTAAGTTTGCCTACTTCTTTGGACTATTTGCCTAAGTTTGCCTAAAGTTTTGGCCACTTTGCTTTACTCGGCGTAATGTTTTGGCCACTTTGCTTAACTCGGCGTAATGTTTTGGGCACTCTGCTGAACTTGACCTACAGTTTTGGCCACTTTGCTTAACTCTGAGTAATGTTTTGGCCACTTTTCTCAACTTGACCTACAGTTTTGGCCACTTTGCTTAACTCAGCGTAATGTTTTGGCCACTTTTTTCAACTCGACGTAACGTTTTGGCCACAATTGCCACAATGTGACTTAGTTTACCTAATGATTTGGCCACTCTGCCTAAAATGTCCTTTTTTGTCCACTCAGTTTAAGTTGCCCTGTTTTGGCCACTCTCGTTCACCTGTTTCTCCCCCCCCCCCCCCTTTGGTAGAGGCACGCGCTGGGCCAACAAGTCGCTAATCTCGTTAAGATAGCATCCCAGCTTGTTGATTTCGTTAAAATGTTATTTCAGCGTGGGTCGCCCTGGCCTTAAATAGAAATAATACGGGCAGAGTCGGTCTAATATTCATGGCTTGAGACTACATACCTACAGGGACGGGTGGGTGAGAGGGGGGGGGGGGGGGGCGAGGGGCTTCGGTTAGTCTATGCAAGATTTTACAAAAATAAAATTTAAAAAAAAAACCGTGTATAACATTGTATAGGTCATGCTGATCTTTAATTTCATACACAACATATCAGTTCAGCGACATATTCTACAGTAGATTGCATTTAAATCAGCCCCCCCCACCCGCTCACTTCTTACAGCAAGGCGACTATCACCGTCCAACATTTACAAACAAAAAAGTTACGTTTAATATCAAAACAAACTATGTAATAAAATTATAAAAAGCACCAGCGCAACAGTAAACAGATAGTAAATTATTTTTTAATGCAAAGTAAATGCTTTTGGAAAAATAATTATTCAGCGTATTATTGATTGCGTTTTAGAGGTTGCTTTCAGCTAATTTGTACACATTCTAAATTCTAAATTTTAAAATAGAGTCCAAAAATATGTTTAAAAAAAAATAGGGTCAGCTTCTTGGTAATTATACCTAGGTTCAATAGGACAAAAATGGATTAGAATTCACCTGTTTCTGTGACCTCGACATACGAGAGGTAGTAAAGTCAGTTCCATGTCCAATGGTCTTTCCCTCCCCGTCCGAGATGGGTGGACTTAGTGACGTCCTACCGATTCAAATTAGAGGCAATCGGATGAGCAATTGTACGCCCTGAGGCTCTACCTCACAATTACGCAGCTCTAATCGGTACGCAAAAATATTTTGGGCGTCAGTATTTGTAAGCTGAAACACATTTGCCTTATATTTTAACATAACAATATTCGTTGTGTGCACACAAGAACGTGTGGATATAATATATATATATATATATATATATATATATATATATATATACATATATATATATATATACATATATATATATACATATATATATATATATGTTTTAATCGCAGTCCCTTAACGTTCACCTAATTCTCCAAATGTTAAATATGTCTGCCACACGTAAAAAGACTTGTGAATTGACTTGTCCAGTCCCCATTGACCACCACCAGCTAACCGTGAGAGTAATAAATCACACCGCTACACCATTCTACTCAACTATTTTTATGGCTCTTCAAATTTCCACGCACACATACACAAAAAACCAAAACTTTCACGCAAGATTAAGAATACAGAAAAAAATTATTCAAAAAACGAACTAAAACAGAATAATGTACGCATAGAAATAATCCCGTAGACGTATTGACAGCAAGTTTTCGGCGTGAAATTTACGACTTGTGAGACGTCTTTAGCGTGGTTAGCAGACCGTTAAAGAGGGGTTGACGTGTGATTGTTGTTTAGGTGTTCACGCTTTGCTTCTATTTTCACAGGTTGAATACAGTGGTTCAAAAGTACGGAAACCCTTGCGGGTCAAATTTCTTTTTTCATCTTAAATTTGGATTTATAAGCGGTGATTGTATCTAAGTTAACTTCAATTTGAGACTTTATCTAAGCTAGAAGTGAACTAATTTCCTGAAGGATTCTGCAAAGACGATTCAGGATCCAATTCACAACACGTTTTTGTTTTCCTACGGAGTTTATTGCAAGTTTTCGAGTAAGCTTTTTAATGTTGGATAAATTCCCGAGCTTTCCAAAGAGGAAGATCCCTCCCTGAGCATGTTCAGACGTCGGCTGAGGTTACGTCATGAAGGACGTTTGGCCACGTGACAGTCATGCGAGCCGGGGGTCAGAGCGTTGTTCAAGTTGGCTTATTTCTGCTAGCCTGTTCCCAGGTGTGGGCATTTTACGGGTGAGTGGTTTTTAGATCTTCTTCATAATATAGGTGAGTAGTTCACGGGTGATGTGGGTTTTATAGGTGAGTAGTTCACGGGTGGTGTGGGTTTTATAGGTGAGTGGTTCACGGGTGATGTGGGTTTTATAGGTGAGTAGTTCACGGGTGGTGTGGGTTTTATAGGTGAGTAGTTCACGGGTGGTGTGGGTTTTATAGGTGAGTGGTTCACGGGTGGTGTGGGTTTTATAGGTGAGTTCACGGGTGATGTGGGTTTTATAGGTGAGTTCACGGGTGATGTTGGTTTTATAGGTGAGTAGTTCACGGGTGATGTAGGTTTTATAGGTGAGTTCATGGGTGATGTGGGTTTTATAGGTGAATAGTTCACACAACATGTGGGTTTTATAGGTGAGTAGTTCACGGGTGATGTGGATTTTATAGGTGAGTAGTTCACGGGTGGTGTGGGTTTTATAGGTGAGTTCATGGGTGGTATGGGTTTTATAGGTGAGTAGTTCACGGGTGATGTTGGTTTTATAGGTGAATAGTTCACGGGTGATGTAGGTTTTATTGGTGAGTGGTTCACGGCTGATGTAGGTTTTATAGGTGAGTAGTTCACGGGTGATGTTGGTTTTATTGGTGAGTGGTTCACGGCTGATGTAGGTTTTATAGGTGAGTAGTTCATGGGTGATGTTGGTTTTATTCGTGAGTGGTTCACGGCTGATGTAGGTTTTATAGGTGAGTAGTTCACGGGTGGTATGGGTTTTATAGGTGAGTTCATAGGTGGTATGGGTTTTATAGGTGAGTAGTTCACGGGTGGTGTGGGTTTTATAGGTGAGTAGTTCACGGGTGGTGTGGGTTTTATAGGTGAGTAGTTCACGGGTGGTGTGGGTTTTATAGGTGAGTAGTTCACGGGTGATGTTGGTGTTATAGGTGAGTAGTTCACGGGTGGTGTGGGTTTTATAGGTGAGTTCATGGGTGATGTGGGTTTTATAGGTGAGTTCATGGGTGGTATGGGTTTTATAGGTGAGTAGTTCACGGGTGATGTGGGTTTTATAGGTGAGTTCATGGGTGGTATGGGTTTTATAGGTGAGTAGTTCACGGGTGATGTGGGTTTTATAGGTGAGTTCATGGGTGGTATGGGTTTTATTGGTGAGTAGTTCACGGGTGGTGTGGGTTTTATAGGTGAGTAGTTCACGGGTGATGTAGGTTTTATAGGTGAGTAGTTCACTGGACATATGCGTCTTATAGTTGAGATGTTCATGGATCACGTGGGTTTGATAGGTGAGTTGTTAATGGGTCATATGAGTGTTCTGGATGAGTAATATGTGTGGCTGACTTTACACGTAATTAATCTACTAGATTTGGCAGCATTAGATAGGAGAAGGGTCAGGGAAGGTTGGGGCTGCCAGCTTCTATATGGTTTAAGACGCCCTGCAAGATGTGACAAAGTGGGTGGGGATTTAGTTCAGTGACGTTTTGTGATAGCGTCAGCCGCCAGGTGACAAATTTGTGACTGTCGTATATGGGGCATAGGATTTTTTTTCCATTAGAAATAAGAATTAGAATGACATTTTTCTTGGGTTCATCGGTTGGGCAGAGAGTTGGGTTCTGATACACTGACAACATCCGATCATTCTCATCTTGCTGCACATGTGTAGCGACCCCTCCCGGCGCCCTGGGACAAACTTTTAATTTGGCGCCCCCCCCCCATATATTTTTGTATATTTATAATTCAAACCTACAGTTAAAATGAGCCCGGGGACATATGTACCCCCCCCCCCCACTTACGTCGCTACGCCTCTGTCTTGCTGCCTAGACTTTGTGCCTAAAGTTCCAAAGTGCAATCACCCGATGGTTTACCAGATTATGAAGCAGCACATGTAGAAACATATTAACGCTATGTTTACACAAGACACTGTTCCTTTCTAACAAACTTACGATTAGTGACGCATGTTTTGTTTTTAACAGACTCACGTCGAAGGAGTCAATCCTGACGCCAGATTTCCAGAAGATGCGTGACCCTCCCAAGGTCGACGCCGCTGGCCTCTGTAACAGGCTGGGCCTGCACCGGAAACAGAAGAGAATTTGCCGCAAAGGGAAAGGGATGGCGCAAACGTTAGCGGCCGCTACAGGCCTGTCCGCAGAGGAGTGCATGTACCAGTTCCGCTACGAACGCTGGAACTGTTCGCTCGGAAATTACCGGAAAAATATTCTTGAGAAAGGTAAGTAATGTCTGGTGTATTGGCTGGTGGGTTCTTCGTTGATCGGCTGGTGTGGGTGTGGGAGGCGTGGGGGTGTGGGAGGGGCTGGGGTGTGGTGGGGGAGGGGTGTGGGTGTGGGTGTGGTGGGGGATGGGTGTGGGTGTGGTGGGGTGTGGTGCGGGATTAATGCTGTCTTTTGTATTGATTGGTGGGTTCTTCGTTGATCGGCTTGTGTGGGGGAGGGGGATTAAAACCGCGTTTAGTCTGCTAAAGAGATCAATGTATGATCGGCTAGTGTGGATGTGGGTATGATGTGGGTGTGGGTGTGGGATTTAAAACGACGTTTAGTCTGCTAAAGAGATCAATATATAATTGGCTTTGATGTCTTTATACAACCTGAAATATTTTACTAATGTGGTGCGCCGGTGGGGGTGTGGGTGGGGAGCGGTTTGAAATTTGAAGAACGAAAGTCCGAGTCATATTTCTCTAAGCTGTGTTTATTAGCTAAATGGATTATTTGCTCAAGAGATTATAGATCAGATGACTTGCGCTAAAAATAATTTTATGTTCCATTGCGCCCTCGCTTATTTTGGGACTCGTTCGCGATTTGCATTTTTAGGGGAGTTAGCTCTTGTGATGAGGGCATGCTTGGATATCAAATGATGTAATCTTTAATTTATGAAGTTGCTGTAATGTTGTGTCAAGGATGTAAGCTACGCCTGTTAAAAATGACAAGATACAAATGTGCTAGTCAAATTTCTTCCGTCATTACCCCCCCCCCCCCCCCCATATTGCATATTGTAGGAGTGAGAATCACCATGAAACAACTGACATGTCAAATCCGAGTAGAGACAAATGTTCAGGTTTTGTCTCCGTGTGTTGATGATAGTTTTTGTTATCGCTGCCCTTGTTTTCATCACGTCCGGACTATCACACTTTCTGTCATCACAGAGTTGTCCACTCTTGTTTACCTAGTCACTGCGTCATGCTGATATCCGGGGTTTTTAAAAAGGGAGATAACGCGTTAAAAAATAATAATAATCTGTGATCGCAAACAAGAGTAGCCTATCGTGTCCTTTTGTAATTCCTGACGTATTTTCGGTCCATCAAGGTTGTTCTAGATTTCAATAGTTCAAGGCACATTTTTATTTCGGCTAATTACTTGTAGATACGGAAATTGAAAACTTTTGTCACAAAAATTAAAATATTTTTAGAAAACGGTGGAAATATATTATTGGACAATATGTTTAGTTATTGGATGGCGTGGTCGAGGGGTATAAGGATCTATGTCTTGTATTTTATCAATATAATATGATACTAAGAATGGAACAAAGTATGCAATATCTAGCCTATACGCCGGAGGTTTCTATAACCGACACAACAAAATAAATGAACGCATATTTGACTTGTGATGTTTGAATTAGAGATGGGGGGGGGGTGCCAGATTTTGAAGGCTATTGTATAAATAGATGACCACACAGCGTATTCTTTTCACTGAGCCCCTACGGGAGCCGAAAGGAGTAATACGAAGAAGAAAAACATATAATATTTTCGAACAGCATAAAAACGATACCTCTACTTTGGCAGTGCTTCTTTCAGACTTAAGTCTTTCGAGGGGGGTCACTTGATATTTTCGGGGGAGGGTGGCGGACACTGGTAAAAGTGTATATTTTCTATATAATTTCCATTACGTTAGCCCCGAAGAGATGCCTTGAAGAAACTCTGGCTTTGACTACATGGTATATAAAATCAAACGACCACACATTGTCTCCATATTGCATGATAAAAATGTCATGACAAATATCATAATTATGACATTTGTTATATCATGGCAGATTGTCGATTGTACTGTATGTGAGTGCTCAATTGTGTATGTGTAGGCTCAAATGTGTATGCTTTATGTCATTGACTATTATCACATTAAAATTTTTCTTTCCAACTCTAACCAACGATATGCTTGTCTTTCTCTGCGCAAAGTATTTATAGGTTATCTTATTTCTTGATCCCTATGGGTTCCATGATGGTGAGCCTAGTTAGCCTATTCCATAACTTGATGGACGTTCTTTTCCACATTGTTTTCCAAATTTATTGTGCCACTAAAATGTGTCACCTGTGCAATCTTCTACCACCATTTACAGTACTACCCCAATGTCATACCCCATTTACTACAACAATCTCCAACTACCATTTACTACAACATCAATCTCCAACTACCATTTACTACAACATCAATCTCCAACTACCATTTACTACAACATCAATCTCCAACTACCATTTACTACAACATCAATCTCCAACTACCATTTACTACAACATCAATCTCCAACTACCATTTACTACAACATCAATCTCCAACTACCATTTACTACAACATCAATCTCCAACTACCATTTACTACAACATCAATCTCCAACTACCATTTACTACAACATCATTCTCCTACCACCATTTACTACAACATCAGTCTCCTACCACCATTTACTACAACATCAGTCTCCTACCACCATTTACTACAACATCAGTCTCCTACCACCATTTACTACAACATCAATCTCCTACCACCATTGACCTACAACATCACAAAAGTTGTAGTCCCAAAGTTTGGGGCTCACTCTAAACTAGGGGTCAGAACTCTGTGTGACTCTGTGATAAAGGTTATCTTCCCCTGCTGCTAGCTGATTGATCTCCCTTGTCGCCACACACACCATAAAAGATCGCCACACCTCACACCATAGGACACCACACCATCACCACACACCACGCCAGTTGTTAGTAAAAAAAAAAAAGTTTTTATTTTTATTTTTATAAGACATTTTATTTTATCGTTCTAAAAATGCTGTTACACAATAAATATTATTTAAGGCACGCAACAATCACTACATAAACTCTATTTCATCTTTCCTATGACCCACCAGGTCCGGAGTGGGAACTTTGACTTAAAGCACATGCCTTTGTTAAAGAAAGAATTGCTACCATCTTAACGAGTCTCATCGCTCAACTTTCTTGAAATAACAATCGTCCAATCCTGAGAGATTGAATCATTTTAAATCCAGTCATTTATTCTATGTTCTACAACTTTTAATCAAGTCATTTGTTAAGTCCTGGACCTATCCATCAAGTCATTTGCTCTCATTTCTAGACCTTTCCGCCAAGTCATTTGTCCTGTTCTAGAACTTTTCATCAAGTCATTTCTTCTAAATCCTAGACCTTTAGTTCAAGTCATCTGTTCTAAATCCTAGACCTTTCCATCAAGTTATTTGTTCCAAATCCTAGACCTTTCCTTTAAGTCATTTGTTCGAATCCTAGACCTTTTCATGACGTCATTTATTCTAAATCCTAGACCTTTCCATCAAGATATTTGTTTCGAATTCTAGACCTTACCATGACGTCATTTGTTCTAAGTCCTAGACACTGTTCTACCCTTGAATAGAAAAATAGTCTGCTTAACATCGAGGCTGCTATCTGCAAGTTGACAAACTCGACTTTGGTAATTAGAACCCCCCTTGACTACCAGCGGCGTCCATGGTGATAGGAGCAGGGGAGAGAATTCGTGGTGAGAAATGTGTTTCCTGTGTCAGGGGACTGTATCCTGTGGCTTAAGTAGGTGCCAGGGTCAGGGGTCGCGCTTTCTTTGGCATCTCTGGAGAGTATTCGTGTAATTGTTTCATCAAGACATTAATTAATTAATTAATTGTAATCACTAGAAAGTGGTTGCTGTTTGTGAGAGTCCATTAACGAAAACATATCTTAGTTTTACACATGTTACAATTTTGTTACATTTATCTAATTAATTAAGTAATTAATCAATTACTGGATTACATTAATCATTTAATAAAATGAGAAATAATTACTATACAAGGTAAATTGAGACGGAAGGTAAAGCGTTTATTTTAAATCTAATTTAGTTTAATTAGCAGTTTACTTAGTTTAATTAGCCATCCCTCCCTTAATAGAATATTCGCAGACGATAGAAACATTTCAACACACTTGGGAACTAGAAGTAGATTAGAAGTGTGAACGTAGAGGTATTTCCTCACATATTGCTATAATTACACTCACACACACACTCACGCACACACGCGTACACATACACGCACACACATATCTAATGTGCAAACATAAATTTACCCACACTTGTAATTAACCCCACAATTAAACGGACACACCCACCATTACGTCACCCCCCCCAATCACACACACTCACCAATAATACTTACAATTATACTCATACACTCCTCCCTCATTCTCGCACTCCCCCCCACCTACCTTCACACTCCCCCCACACCCCACCCACACACTCCCACACACACGTCGTGTCCCGTGCCCAGCGCCCTGGTTATTTTAACAACAAATTAGTTGTAATTAATTAATTGAAGCCGGCGCCCAGGGGGTCCTGGACTATTTATGGCACCGCGGCTGGCCCACGGGCCTGGTTTGTTTGGTCACGTGATACACAACTACACCATGTTAGCCTCACTACAGGGGCGGAATTATTGGGGGGGGGGCGGAATTAATGGGGGGGAGGGGGGCATGGGGGAGGGTGGGGGTTCACAGCCGGCAGATACATTGTCGCCGAATATATATATATATATATATATATATATATATATATATATATATATATATATATATATATATATATATATATATATATATATATATATATATATATACATATATATATATATATATATATATATATATATATATATATATACATATATATACATATATATATATGTATATATATATATATATATATATTGGAAAACACACATAATTTATCAAGGTAACTGTAGTTCCACCAAAATGACCACATACATAATTAGGTGCAATGCATAATTAATAGAGGCCTAAATATTTTAAAAATGTCTAAACCGCTTTTGACGACTAAAATAGTTAGATTTGTATGCATCGTGTCGTGTTATGTAGTATTGCTATACGAAAAAAGTTGTTGCCCCTAAAATTATGGGGCTCTTACTATTTGCTTCCCTTGACTCCGCTATTTACACACTA